ATTATTCCAACTCTTTTTGTTTTTGTTTTTCAAAACTTTTATCTTTTTTATTTCTTTTTATTTTCTTTATTTTTCACTTTTTATTTTCTTTTTCTTTCTCAACCTCATAGTAATACACACAAGCACATAAATATTTCTCTCCCCAACTTAAATTCAATCATATCATAATATGAATACTCCCTACTTTCTAAGGAAGGTGAAAATTCAAACCATAAATCATAGTTGAGGGTTCAAGAAAACAAAGAATTAATATCCATACAAAAAGATGAATCAAACACTCATAGACAAGCATTTAGCAAAAACAACATGGACATCGACAAAAAGGGTCAAAAGAGGATATTAATGATCACACACTCACAAGGTGAAATGACTATTTGGCCAAGGTAGTTGTGCTCAAAATGAAACAAAAAATTCCTTGATCATGTTCATGATTTCATACAATCAATACAAACAAAAAATTAAACATAATAAAATCCAGTTAAAACAAGAATTGTGGCCTCTAACATATATGAACAATGGAAAGCTTCCTCACATTTATGGGTAAAAAGGGAACTAAAGTGATTCAAGTCATGAGCAAGTAATGCAAAAAGAATGAATGATATGGTAATTATACAAATGAAAAGTTTCCTAAACATGTTATGTTATAGAAAGCGATAAACGAGTACCTCGCGAGTACCAACTTCAAAAACTATCATTACCATACATCTGCAAGTTGAAACACTCAAAATCGAAAAATCATCAAATGCGACTTTAAGCTATCTAACCAAAATTTGAGTCCAAACAACAAAAGAAATGATTAAAAATATTACTATTAATTACTATACTATAAAGTCTTGGGTGAAGTGGGAAAAAAGAGAGTCAAGCGAAAAATTAAAAAGAACTCACTAGCTTTGCACAGTAGGGTGCGCTAAACGGCATAGAGCGCGATAAGCGTGCTACACCAATTGCAGAAAAACAGGACAACAACAGTGCAACAACACCCTCCATAATCACCTACACAATCTTAACTACATACAATATTTACAACATACAAATCTCCTCAAGCTAAACATGACAAGCTTGCGGAAAAACATAAATTAACATAACAAAACTAACGGATAAAAGTGAATTAAACAAGTTGAAAAGTGAAAAATTAAGAATTTAAAACAAGTCCAATTTCAACTTGTTAAAACACAAGTCAACATATACATAAACGAATACAAATAAAATATGATTGTTTTACGTCGTAACTTTGACGCCTTTATTGTGCGAGCTAGTAACCTCCTCTTGTCATGTCATGGTATTGTCACACCATACAAACCTAAAGAAAGTATCCTAACAACCACACAACAAACATTGCGAAAACAAGACAATTCACAACAATACGTGAAAACAAAGAAAAACACATATATGCACAAGTATGGAAAGTAAACACAAAACATGTACAAGTAAAAATAGACAAGTTTATGTACGCATTCAATACAACATATACATTAATTACAAAACTCAAAAACAAAGAAATTATCACAATGCAAAATGATAAACACCAATCCCCGATGACGGGGCTATTTTGCTGGATGCGGTAAAGCGACAAGCAAAAAGTAAGTTATTAATTTACCGGGTGATATAAGTTATATCGTATCGTGTCCACAAAGATTGGTGTATTGAAATATCGTTCGACAAATCTCTCGTTAATGAGTTTGGGGATAAATGGGTTGAAAGGAAAAGTATCAACATAAAATAAATGTATAAAAAGGAAAAAGGGAATAACTTATCAAGCATGTATATATACTACTTCTCACAGTCTTAAACCTATCGACCTGTTATACTAAACCTATAATATTAATCAATGTCATCACATGTAAAACACAACACCCACTATATCACCTCGGTAGCGATCTCTCAACCACCTCAACAACACATAAGTCAATTGTACTAGCTTGCATCGACGATCTTTCAGAGCGACACAAATAACATAGAGGCATTAATCACATACATCCTAAGTGAATAACAATTCTAAATCTATTTCTAGAATTTAGACATTATTAGATAATCATCCTAGATAAGAATTCAAGCAGTATGTGTCTATAGCAACTCAAATCCCTAGCACAGAGCAAAAATCAAGGATAGCAATAGACAAATATTTGTAAAGCAAGTTTTATATAACACCAAGGGAGACAAATATACATAAGATCAAAGTAAATACATGTTAAAACCCTACCAAAAGAGAATACACAAAGAAAAAGAGAAATAAACCGCAAATCTATCGGTTTATCAGTGTCGATCGAAGAGCAATTTACCCCAGATCATCCGTATGCAAGCTCCACAATTGTTATCTAAGCTAATCTTAACAAAATTAAAGGTTGATGGAGTTGGGAGCAAAAACATCCCCAAAACCTTAACCTAAAAATGAACTAAATTTGTTTTTATAAAATAAATCTCAGCAGACCGCGCTAAGCAGGCCTGGCGCGCTAAGGTCGACTTCTTTACTTTACACATCAAACCGCCCTAAACCGCGCTAAGCGCTTTATCCGTGCTAAGCGGGCTTCAAAACAATGCTTCTGCCAAAATCTCGAAATGTAAGCAGTGCATTACAAAATGTACTGAGTGCACTCGTAATTAGCGGCCTTCTCGCGCTAAGCGGGCTCTCTTAGACATAACTTCCCAAATCTGGTTTTTTATTCCGAAAACATGTATCTGAAGCCATGCCTTCGACACCTTATTCCTCGATGCTCCAAAACGCAACAAATACCTACAAAATGAATGGAAAAACATCAAACGATACACTATGTACACAAAAACACAAATAAACACAAATAAGCACAAACTAAACGTATTTACACAAAAGTCGGGTTTATTCAACCGATATTAACAACAAAGAATCGATAAGTGCAACAAAAAGTAAATACAAAAATAACTACAATTTGCACTTATCATGAGACATCTTTGTAATTCTAGAAGGACATTTTTGTAAATTCACCAAGTAATATTTTACCTTGGTTTAATAATTTATCCACAAGGAATTATGTATTTGGGTTAAAAGCTAAACCCTTTAAAAGCTTTGGTTTAGGATTTAGATTATAAGTTGTCGTTTAGGTTCGTAAGCTAAGCTTGGTTAAAAGCCTCTTTTGGTTCGAGATCAGCCCGATTCAAAATATCAACCTAGTTTGTTGTTATCTTGGTAAAAACCTTAATTCAGTTCGTAAGTTCATCCCAGTCAAAAGCTTTTTGTAGTTCAAGATAAGCCTAATTCAAAATTTCAGTGGTTCGTGGTCAGCCTGGTCAAAACCTCAGTTTAGTTCATGAGTTGAACTTGGTTCAAAAGATCGCCTTGGTTCGAGATAAGCATGTGGAAAATCTCAGTTTAGATTAGGGATTAACTGCTTCAAGTTGCCGTTTGAAAAGAAGACTAACCACTTCTCTTCGTTGTTCGCTGTTTGGTTGGAAGTTAGCTTGAAATTTCATTTTTCCTTGTATAAGGGGGTTCAAGAGCTCAACCTACTAAAAGCTCTTAAGAAATATTAGAAACTCTTTATATCTCTTGGGGAAATGATTATGTCACTTCATTTCGACTAAACCTCTATAATTCCTGGTATTACTTCTCTTGCCCTTCACTTTTTATTTTCAGCTTATTTATCTTTTTGCTTCTAATTTATTTAAACACTTTTAAAATGTTTTTAAATTCAAAATAATTTTAAAGGTTTTTCAAATTATCATTTTTCTGAAACATACAGTTCACCCCCTTATTGCCCCTCCATTTTTCAAACTACCATTTATCAGATCAATCGCGCTTTTATTGAAGGTATCACCCTTTATTTAGATATCTCGCTCTTCTCTAAAATAAATCTCCTATCGCAAAAAAAAAAAGCATCCTCCTCCCTTAGCGGTACAAAAGAAGTCATGAGAGAGACAGATCACGTTCCCCAGAATATCAGGAGTTAAACTATCCACTCCCTGAGTGGTTGTTATTTCCAATGAAGCTTAAGATTTAAGTCTAGTAAGGGTATAAATATTGCACCATCATGACTGGGAAATGACCTAACTACAACATAATAAGTATTCACATATAGTAGCTTCTCATCTCACTTGAGCTAGTTCTCAATCTCACAACAATCTTAAAGTCTCTAATAACCCTTATTCACTAGGTTTTTTACGCATTTATACTTTTAGCAAGTAAAAAACAAAAAACAATTGTGTCGACAAAATTGAGGAAATTTGAGAAAATCAAAGTGAAACTCGAGATAATCAGAAGACAATTCTCACATATAACACCCCTATTATGTACCAAAACAATATGATAAGTTGATAACGACCACCACGGTAAGACTTCTACTGCGGTGGATATGTTTCTTCAGTAATTAAAGGAGTACTAGTAAAAGGTTAGCACTCAGAAGCCCAAATTAGTGTATGAATAAAGTGAAATTTTACAAATATGAGTAGAAGTGTATTTGAGTTTGACTTAAAGTCACACATAAAAAGGAGACAGTTGTCATTGTACCTAATTTTACCAACATGGAGCACAAAAAACCATTGGATGCATATCAACAATCTAGATAAAAAAGGAGCATGCTTATGTACTGATACTACTATAGACAAAGGTCCACCTGGTCGCTAGTGATTGACGCACTCTTATTGTAGTAAATCCATATATTGTACTAATTTTCACGAGCCATTAACCAAATCAAATCATAAACCAATACAAACTATCATATTTTCATTCTCTTATTATTCTTAATATACAAATTAAATTAGAATATAATTACATTGTCGTACTCTAAAATATTTCAATCATTAAATTGAAATTTTATTTCTTTCTTCTATAAAAAATAATTTAAATATTAGTTTTAACAAAACCCCATGGTAATAATATGGAGTAACTAGCAAAGCACCCTAGTGAGAATTTAGGAAAATTTGTGGGCTATTTTGAATTGACCTATTCATCCCTTTACCATATATACATCGGAAGAAAAAAAAAATAGAACTAGGGTTCTCTGTGACCAGTTCCGCACGAGGTCGCGAAAATGGTGTCTCTCAAACTGCAGAAGCGGCTTTCAGCAAGCGTGCTGAAATGCGGAAGAGGAAAGGTTTGGCTTGATCCCAATGAATGCAATGAAATCTCCATGGCCAATTCTCGTTCGTATCTTTCTCTCTTCACTCTTGCTTTCTAGTTTTCAGGGTTTTGTTTCATGATTTTGGGTTCTTCCATAGCAATTTCTGTAATTCGCCAAACCTAGAAATTAGTGTTGCTAGTCACAGATTGCAGAAAAATTACTGTGATATAATGCTTATATGTCTGTTTGACAGTATTTTGTATTAAACGTGTTTGGTGCGACACGGCTATGCTCAGTGTTGTCAATTCTAGATGGTGGGAAAATAGTGTTTGTATAAATTCTGCTACACAACATTGCTATAGCGCTGATGTCTATACTGATTTCTGAAGTCAATGCTTGAAATTGGTAGAACAAAGGCAAAGAAATATTGAAAGAGGAAACCAGCATTAAGATGTGTTGTATCTACTCTGTTCTGTTAGTGCTAATCTTTTTGCAATGTAAGCTCTGCTAAGCTTGGTGGATTTTTGTTTGTAGGACAAAATATTAGGAAGTTGGTTAAGGATGGGTTTATTATTAGGAAGCCAACCAAGATTCACTCCCGTTCACGTGCTCGTAGGATGAAGGAAGCCAAAAGGAAGGGACGTCACTCAGGATATGGTATTCTTTTTTGTTCATTCCCATCTTTAAATGAATTGGTACTTTTGGTAAGATGTGATATATAAGATATCATAAATAATGTTAGGTAAGCGCAAGGGTACAAGAGAGGCGAGGCTTCCTACCAAAATTCTTTGGATGAGGAGGATGCGTGTGCTGAGACGATTGCTTAGAAAGTATAGGGAGGCGAAGAAAATTGACAAACACATGTACCATGATATGTACATGAAGGTGAAGGGTAATGTTTTCAAGAACAAGAGAGTCTTGATGGAGAGCATTCACAAGTCCAAGGCCGAGAAGGCTAGAGAGAAGACCCTGTCTGATCAGTTCGAGGCAAAACGTGCAAAGAACAAGGCAAGCAGGGAAAGGAAGCATGCTAGGCGTGAGGAACGATTTGCTCAAGTAAGTAGTAGTTCAGTAATTTCTTGACAATCTATATACTTGCATTCAACATCATGAATTGCAACTTTCATTGTTGTTAAAGAGTATGTTAGTTGATGCTTGTAATAAATATTGACACTGTTAGTTGATGCTTGTAATAAATATTGACACTTACACGCTTCATGAAATGTTTAGGGTCCGGGTGAAAAGCAACCAGCACCTACTGCTCCACCTGCCGCAACACCCCAGCCTGCTCAAGCGCCAAAGAAAACCAAGAAGTGAGCAGCGGCATACCCCGAAATTCAAAGGAATCTGGCGCTGTCATAATTGAGTAGTCTGTAATTGCATGAAGTGCTAACTAGCCTCCTTTTTTTTGTTGGTTTAGACTTTGTTTTTATAAGTATGAACTTGTTTATTGGTAACTCTATTATACCTGTTTGTTAGTTTGTGTTTTACCATTGGTTTTAAGATTTAAGATACAAAGGTGTGTTATTTCAGCCTTAGAAGTTGTAAGATTTACAATACTTGGTTTGGTGATTTAACAACTTTCTTTTGTTGAAGGAGGGCTGGTGAAAATAAAAACACTAACCAATTTTCCGGATGATATAAACACGAGTGAAGTTGACTGACACACTGAGATTGTGCCGATGTGAGGATCTCCTTGGGGGATGATCTGTAAGTACCTCTATAAGTGCTTTCTTAGCGAGTTTTGAGGCCTGCCCTGATCTGGGGCCTTGGAGCCCAAATCGAACAATTAATGGACCTCTCTTGTAAACATGGTTGTTTTTTTTATCACGAATAATATTGCTTTTAATGTCTCAAACCTTAACAAAATTCCCTAAAGGTGAAGGTGGAGCTTGACTTTTTTTTTTTGTAAGGGAACGGAATGAACGAAAAAGGAAATATGGTATATTTTGCAAGGATTATTATTCCCTGCATCGTGGAGATATGTATTTGACTTTTATTAAAGATGATTTTGATTTGTTATTATTGTACAAGGCAGGCAAAAGATTTAAATGTCAATGTATAGGATTAAAGTATCTATGCTACAGTTTTCATGACATTCCTTAACTTGATTTGGTTCTTTACTGCTCGAATTTTGCCTTACAATATCGATCGGCAATTGCAAGATAAAATTTTCTCTTCAATTTAAGTAGTATTTTCGTCTTATAAAACAACAAACAAGGATTTCTTCCATTTTTTAACGACCTAGTTTGAAGCCGGCGGTTTCGGTGTTTCAATTCGGTTCTATCGACTTGACCACTACCATTTAATTGACAAATTGATCAAGTTTTGATTTATTTGGAAAGGATTTTAAAATAGAACTACTATGTAGTAGTTGACTACATAACAATTTTTCATAATCCATATCTACATTCATTCCTTTACATATTCCCTCCATATTTTCCACCAATATAAACGGATGCAATAGTATTAGGCACAATAGGATTCTACATGATATTTGAAATGAAATATTGTTCTTTTTTTTTTGGATGACGCGAAAGGTCAAAACCCTAGCTACTATATATACAAGCTCATTACAAACATTAATTTTCATCAACTTAGTATGCTAACAAAAATAATTAGTTCTGATGGGAGAAGTTTTTAAGTTTGAAATGAATAGAAGAAAAATGTATTTGGTCACCCTCAAAGGCTTCCACTACATAATGATTTAAATCGAATTATTATATACGAAGAATCATTGAGTAGTGGTTGACCTAAGAGGGTTCACTGAAAAATTTATTCTTTACAAAAGTTTAGATTGCTTATAGAAGATTTATGAACTGATCCTATGTAAAAGTTCAAGTTGTTTGTAAGGTTGTTTGAGTTGATTTTATATAAAAGCTCAAAAAAATGGTAGAAATTTTAAAGGGAAACTATTGGAGACCGATATAGGTCAAATAGTTTACGTCGAACTAGGATAATTTTTTTGTGTGAGCTTTCCATCCTTTATCTCTTTTATTTCTGTTATTTATCTTTTTCGCTTCTTATTTCTCCACCTCTTCTCTTCTCTATTATTCTGTTGGTTCATCTTTGTCTATTTATTCTAACATAAATGATTTTAAATCGAACCATTTTTATATACTAAATTTTAAAAAATGTGAATATCACAATTTCCCCCCTCATGTGTATGAAGCCAATTGGTCAATATTGGTCTCAGGGAAGGTCTCATTCTCATGGTTAGCAATACACGCCTGCTCAGACTCAGGCTCCTGCAAGTGAAGTGTAACGCCCCGATAATTTAATTAATTATTTAATTGAAGTCATTAGTTGGAGTTGAGCAATATTGTGAGTTATTGTTAAGTTGCTCTATGACATTATTTGATTAAATGGTGGTTTAATAATATTAAATATATTGGAGCATTATAAGATTAATTGTTGGGCTTATTTAAGTGATGTCATGTAGTAAATATGAGAGTGTGTATATTAGCCCAATAAGAGTTACTAGAATTACAAGGTTAAGTGGATATAAAAGGAATTAGGTTAATTGAGAAAAAGTGAGAGAATAGATGGGAGAAATTCATTCCCGTTTTTATTGCAGCAGTCTCACTAAATCAACAATCTCTGATTTGTTAACCGTTGGATCATGCTCAAATTTTGAGAGTAGGTTCGCAACACCCACATCTAACTTTTGACAGTTGGGATCTTCAAAATAAGGTCTGAGTTGGGAGATATCATCATCGCACTATAGCTGCATATTTGGGAAAATTTTCAGCTTTGATTCTGATCTAGAGAGAAAAATCTTGGAAGGTTTTGGTACAAGAGAAGTTGTAGAGAAGAGAAAAATAATGGTTTTGAGCAGAAGAAGAGGGATACGTGGAAGTTACACCAAGCGGCCAAGAGGAGATTCAATCGGAGACCCTTAGAGTTACCTTCAATTCAAACCAGGTAAGGGTGGGGTTCAATCTCTATAATCGGGTATATGATAAACCGTACGTGGGGTTGGATTATATAAATTTGTGCCATGAATTGTTGTCGATTCAGTTATATTGTGATTTTGTAAAGATTATCAGTCCTGCAATTTTAGTTGTCAGTAAATGTTCATAATGTGTTGATGAATTTGTTCTGCAATTTATTTAAATCGTATTTCTGTTATGATGTTGTTATGGCTATTATTGAGTTGTTGTCCTGAGATGAGACTCGAAAGAACATATAGGCGTGGTGGAAATACTATGTCATATCTTATATTATTAATAAGTTAATATAATTAGTAAAATAATTTAGTATCATATTGGATTAAAGAAGTTGCAGGAATAAATTGTAATCTTTAGTCAAATGAATAGTAGGATGTATATGTATCAGTAACAGAAATAATAGTGTATGGACTAATTTAGCTGAACACTGTTAGGAAGTATCAGTAGATGTAGAAATTGTTAGAAAATTATCATACAAAAAGTATAACGGAGAATTTCAGTAACAGGAAGAATAAGTTGAAATTGGTTTTGGTTTATAACTAATATTTGTCACTGGCAGGAAGTTGTAGTAATAGAAGTCGCAGATAGCAAACAAGTAGTTTTGGCAGTAACCAATAATAGCAGTAAGCTAAATAACAGAGGTAGCATAATTTAGTAGAATAAATTGATTAGTAGCAGTATAAATAAATAGTAGTAATAACAGTGTATAAAACAATACCGATTAGCCAAATTTGTAGATTTAGACGGTAAAAATAGTTAACCGGAATTAGTTGAAATTGTCAGAGTGAGTCGTATATACATATGGGTATTTTTAGTTGGTTTGTTTTGTTAGAATTATGTAGAATAAAGTTGATTTGCAAGTGAAATCAAATTAAGTTGAATGGTTCCAGTTTATGGAATTATATTGTATACCTTGCTGAAAAATATGAAATTACAGGTGATGATGAATTTGGTTTAATTGCCTCTATTTATGGGCAATATTATGTTGTAGGCCTATGGCCAACGTTGAGATGTTGTGTTGTTGTGATTGTCTCTGAATTCTTGTTGATAATGTGAAGTTGCATAGATTTTAGATGATGATGAATTATCTCTATTTACTGGTAATAATGGTGATGTAGGATTAAGCCTTACGATGAATGATGATTGTTGTTAGTATGTGATGGTGCATTCATTGAGTCACATACATTTGCATACTCTGTGATGGCCTGTATTGGTGGATTTTATGAAGGCATGTATTGGCATACTGCGAAGAAGGCTTATGCCTTATTGATACCTCTATTAATTGTCAATTTTTAAGTTGGGAGTTCTGTTTCAATGGTACCACATACATGTGCATTGTGATTGATCGCATTTGATGTTGCATATTGAGTTGTGGTGAAGATAGATTCATTGTTGCTTTATGTTGTTGACTTGTTGTGAAAAGTATTATCTAAAAGTTGTGAATTTAGTAGTTATGGCGTGTTGATGTTTTATTGTGATTAAAGTTGTTTGTAAGTTGTGAAGTGGTGATTTTATATGATCTGATTTAATATATTATTTATCATATGACTAATTATATAGTTTGATATCTCACCCCTTCTGTTTGAATGTTGCCCTCTGTTGGTAATGTGCATGTAATCAAGAAGGATAGTTATTACCTCGTTAGTTCGAGTCGGTATTGTCGCTCTGATACTAGCACTCAGGGGGATATACGCTTGATGTTTAGTTGTTGATTATTATTTCAATTGCTGAATTTTAAAGTTGATTACATGAAATAATTGTTGTCTTGAGGTTGTTTTGATTGAATAAAAGATGTTAAGTGAATTGAAGTTGGTATGTATATTCCGTTGCTTATCAATAAAAAGTTGTTTGATTTTGAATAATAAATTAGATTATTATCGATTCATCCAAGTTAAGTGTTATGTATCTGTTTGTATGCGATTAAATGAAGATTGATTTTTAGTTTAAAATGTAGCATCCTATTTATGTTGAACTCTGATTTTCTTATTATCTGTCGAGTAGAAATGGGGTATTATATTAGTGGTATCAGAGCAGGTCGGTCCGTCCGACCAAGTTGTCTAATGTTATTTGTTCTTTAGTGCGCGACAAGTGTGTGAAACACTGTCGGTACTTATTTGCCTTAATTGCAGGAAGTTGGTTGAAGATAAGTGGGGGAGAAGCTTTGCTTCTCGGATATGTTCAATTGAAAGGTGTTGGTTCGGTGTGCTGCCGACGATGACAACGCAAGAATTGTTGGAGTCTCGTTATTCCTGAATTTGAAGGTGACTTGGATTTAAGGTCTTGTTGTTAGTCGAGTTAGAGTGCCTTGAGAGAAATTGACCAGACATTGTTGGTGCTTACTTCTCGAAGAATGAAGAGCGATGTAAT